TGCTGTCACGACACATAATAAAATATCAGAACTAATGAACCTTACATAAACTGACACATATTCAATAATAACCTGCTATTCTGTATCCACATGTGGTTCAAAATGATTTCAATACAAAGATCAAGAACAAAATTTTACATCAGTTACTTTGTAAAATGAAAGGGGCTGAAACTAAAATGCACTCTTAAAAAGAAATTAAAGGGACAGGAATATTCATGTAGAAAATTAAAAATTAAAGATTTCTCAAATGACCATTATCATGTATTTCACAGGGCACAACTGCCATTCTAAAACATTTATGTCAAATTAATCTCCTTAATATAAAACCAGTGCATGCCAAAGGTAAAGTGATGGCAATATTCTAACAATACTATTTTTTCAGCCTTTATGAAAGTAGTTATATTCCTGTTCTCAGTATATAATCTGTTCCTATGTTGCATCTATTATTATCTGATGTTTATCACCATATTTTATGACTTATTATTTCCTACCACTCTGTAAACTTATTACTAATGCTTGTGCCATTAAGATGGCTTCCTAGGAGGCCTAATGATTTCCTCTGCTGGTCAAGATTAGCTCTCATGGAACTACAGAGATCATTAAAATCTCGTATGTTTAGTTTACGACTTAAGCGACTCTTCTGTCATCCAAAAAAGTCTTCTCAGTTTCCCTTTCCAGTTTTGTCCGTCATGAGACTTATGAGCAGAAGTCCTCTGTGCAAACTCCCCAAGTTATAATGTCAATATTCAGTCAATTCTAGTCTCGATACTGTGAGGAAATCATTTTGTAGGAGTGCTTTATGCCTACATTCAATTGATACTTTAGAAATAAGGCAATTATTCTAGATAATCTAGGCAGGCCTGACACAAGCAATTGAAAAATCCTGGGAACGAAACAGAGATGAAGTTTCTATTTCTCAAAGAAAGAAGGGAATTCTACCCCTATGATCTGCAAGGTCAGCACCTGGCAAGAACTTCCAACGCCCTCTAATTTCAATGGTCCATTATGATTCTCTCTCTCTCTCTCTCTCTCTCTCTCTCTCTCTCTCTCTCTCACACACACACACACACACACACACACACGCCCCTCCCCCCCCCCCCGCTTATCATTTCTCTTGTCTTGGTTATGGTATCAATTGCTGTGATAAAATTCCATGACCAAAAACACTTTGGGGAGGAAAGGGTTTATCTTACAACTTTCAGATCATACTCCATAACACTGAGGGAAGTCGCAGCAGGAACTCAAGGCAAGAAACTCTGCTTACTAGTTTGCTCTGTCAGCTTTCTTATATAACTAAGGACTAACTACCCAGAGTTGACACCCAGACTGAGCTGGGCACTCCTACATCAACCCTTAATCAAGAAAATTCCCAACAAACTTGCCTATGAGCCAATGTTATGGAGTCTTTTTCCTAACTGAGAATTCCTCTTCTTAAAATAAGCAGCTTGTGTCAAATTGACATAAAAGTAGTGAACGCAATTCTAATGATCCAACTTGGGTGACCAATCTTTGATAAATTGTTTCAGCACTTGTAGTATTGCAGCTGCACCCGATGTGTGCCTTCTTCACTGTGCTCATGCTAAAACTACTCTGCCACACCTGTCGGATGGAAACGGCACTCCCTGTTGTAAACTTTGAGAATCCTACCTCAGAGGGTGACGTACTATTCTCTGAGTCTCTACAACTTCCCACGAGTGTCATGTGAGTGGCAGAGAACGTGGTATGTGCTGGTTGGTTTTTGTCAACTTGACATAAGCGGGAATCACCTGGGAGGAGCCTACCATGGTGACGAATCCCCTCCACGAGACCAGCCTCCAGGCATGTCTGGGTTACACTTTCACGACTGATGACTGATAAGGGAGGGCTCAGCCCACTGTGAGCAGTGCCAGATCTAGGCAGGTGGTTCTGTGTAGTACGAGAGGGCAAACTGAGAACAGGGAACAGGTCAGTATTCCTCCATGGTCTGCTGCCTCTTGGTTGGTTCCTGCCTTGAATCCTTGCCCTGGCTTTCCTTGATGGTGGGCTGAAACCTACCACTCAAATAACCTCTTTCCTTCCCAAGTTGTTTTGGTCAGTGGTTTATCACAGCAATGGAAACCACACAAGGGCATATTGTGACCTTTATGATGGCTATCATGCTTACTGATGATAATAGACGTTACACAAATATAAGCATTTTCTACAGAGCTCTGGGGTATACCAACGTTCAGTAAAGCTTTAGCCAACAATGCCTTATATACAGTAAGCATTTAAATCATGCATACATTCCCTGTTATTATCACATTCAGTTTATAAAAACATAAAACTTTAAAGCCAAATAAACCCCAGTTTTTCAGCTTTCTCAACTAACAGTGCAAAATATTCAGTGTTTCATTATTTGTTTCCTAACATAAAGTTATGATAACATTGCTATTCAGTATACGAGGCCATCAGAAACATCAATAGTAACAGAAGTCATGTAAAAATTCACGAGCACCATAGTCTCCTGTGTCGATAAGGGTTGAATGAAATATATGTCAGTGACAATGTCCGACATTGATACATAAATCATTTATAATAAAAACCGACTATAGGACTGTCATTTTGATAAGTTTTGTGAAAAATAATAAGTTTTGTAAAAATAATTAGTACATGGTTGCTAATATTTATTGGGGATTTATTTTATGTTATATGTTGTTTCCAACTTCATCTACCTTCTTTTTATCTAAAACTACTCGTGTAAGAAGACCCTAAGAAGATACATAGATCTAACCAACATAAGTAGTAGAAAAAGACAAGATCTCCTGAGTAAATTTGGAGCATGGGAACCTTGGGAGAGGGTTGAAGGGGAGGAAAAGGGCAGAAAGGGGAGCGGAGAAAAATGTAGAGCTCAATAAAATTCAATTAAAAAAAGAAGTTGCTGTTATTGCCTCCCTTATTCTTGAATGCACAGTCGAGGGACAGAAAAATTAAATGGTCTGCCCAGTGATACACAGCTAAAATTTTTAGGTAGGCTATCGGTCAAAGCAGTCTAGTTCCGTGGTCTGTAATCTCCCATCCTGTACTACACCACTTCCTGTGAAAATGAACTGACTTTTCAGATGGTAAAGGTCTAACGAGAAGAGAACACATCTTTAAAACAGGTTCACTAAAAAGACAAGCACTGCAAAGAAGGGAAATGAATGTTCTTCAATTGCTGCAATGCTACTTGGTGTTCCCATGATATATATCCTCACAGATTAGGTAAAATAAAACAGATGAGACTAACCCGCTTTCCCATAAAAAGCTGCATAACTCTAAGTGCATGTAATAACACCTAGTGCTTTATTCATTTATTAAACAGTGTCTCTGTGTGAAGCCCTGCCGCTAAAACCCTATGAATTGATTGATGCTGGTCTCTGTGTGGGAAGCGCTCTATAGTTTTTCATGACTGTCAGTAATTTTACAGTTATTGTCTGGTACAGTGCAAGCCACTGAACCCCGGCTACATAACAGATCTCCATTGTCGCAGTACCCCTGCAGTACTAAAATAAAAGGTAGTTCTAATTAGAATAGAGTCTCCCAATACTAACAAACTGGAGTTCCAATACGACGCATTTTCCTTACAGAAAGATGAAATAGCCCTGATAACTTCACCTAAAGGATGTCACTGTACTATGACTGTCAAGGCCTGATTATGCAGCCTAAAATAACAATAGCTGTCTTAAGCTATATGTGTGTGTGTGTGTGTGTGTGTATATATATATATATATATATATATATATATACACATATATATATATCACATGCTCTTTATGATAAATACTTAGCAGGATAGGCAATAAATTTTTTCAGGTTCAATAACTATGATAAGCAGTGGCAATCAGCCTTCATACCAATCATATAGGGAAATTAATAAGCATACAACAATTTCAGGACTATTTCTGAGGCATGGGAAGTATTAGAACATTTTTATTTCTCTATGAAATCACATTTTTTTCTGTCCCTATCAAATCCCAGTTCAGAGTAGCACATTCTGTGGTCATTTCATCCTCAATCCTATTATATACATCTTCTTGTCAACAGGGACATGAGCCAGCACTGCTGAGGGTCCCACTAAGCACAGTTGATTTTCTGCTGGATAACGTTTTTCATTTTATTTTCTAAAATAATCCCTGAGTCTATGCTCATTATATCTCGGAGTATAGTTTGTTAACCTATAAAAACCATAAGTTCTCCTTTAAATATTGAAGTTTCCTATGCCCTCCATGTTGTCTTCAGAGTCCAGCAATTTGAGCTTGTCTTAACCCAATATTTAAAATCTCAAATATTACATTTTTCATGCCTCTGCAAAATTTCTAATCAGATTTCTCTGTAAACAAGTTCAGATCTTTTGCTAAATACAATGACTCGTCTCTCTTTAATGGACCTTTTACAATTTATGTCCCTTCAAACAGCAGATGCAATCTTTAAAACGATGGCACATGCATTAGTGTTTTGGCTGCCTCATCAAAACACAGTAATCCAGGAAAGAATAAAAAAAAAACACATTTTATGCTTTTATGTTTTCCATTTCATTTGCTTATTTTCTTGGATTCCAAGTACACGTTAAAATTGCATCTCACTTTCCTAGATGAGTTTTTATTTGTTTTTGATGAACCACAATATTAAAATGCATTTAAAGGAAGTCAATTTTAAGTTGTTTAATTTCCCAGAGTCTGTGACATTGCAAAATAACTTAAATAAGAGTCCAACTCATAATAAGAAAAAGCATGAATTAAAATACATAGATCGAGAAACTGCAAAAGGTACACATTTCTTTTTAAATTAATTTAGAGATTAAAATGATTTCAATAAGTCATTTAATAAGTGATGAATTTAATAAGTAATGTTACATTACTTATTTAAGCAATGTCAAATTAGTTTCAAAGATCACTTACCAGGAAACGTTGACGCATTAGCAATTTTTCTAAAATTAGCACAATTATTCAAAACAACACATAACAAAGTAAAATCAGATAATATCCTAATAACTATTTTACCTTTGCATTATAGGGGATGTAATGTTTTGATAAAGCTTCAGGTGTATGCATCCATGTTTTGTCTGTAACAGAGAAAATGAAGTATTGGATTAAACCATCAATTTTTATAATGAGGTTTATATATTCTTACCTGAAGGAAATCTATACTGGGGAAGGCAGTCGAATCTTCTGAACTTTCTTGAATTAAGAAAGTAAAATGTTGTAACTGGAAATGATTCAGGCATTTATCTTTTTCTTACTATAGAAGTCACTCATGAATGATTGGGGTGTTGCTATGTAGCCAAAGCTGGCCACAGCCAATTTGTTGTCCTTCAGTTATCCACGCTTGCTCTTCCCCTGGTTCTCATTTTATAAGAACAACATAGTGGGGCTATGAGCAAAAACAATTATGCAAGTTAAGACAAGTACCTGTCTTCTTTTATTTAATGCTTTCATGAATGCCAAGGTATATTTCATCATTTCCAGATAATAAAAATAATCTGTCCTTTTAGAGTTACGATAACTTTAGCATCAGAATTTGTGCATTTTAAAGGGAAAATACATTAAGGGAGGAGGTGCACTTGAATGAAGTTGAAATACATTAGTGATTATGTTCTCATGGAATGTCATTAAGATAATCCTTATTTTAAATTAGAAAAAAATAGTTGAATGTCTACTATCAGAAGTTTTGAACATGAATAATATTAAGCATATTCATTGGAAATGTAGATAAACGTAATGAAATATTAGAAATAAAGTATTTCAGAAGGGATATATTGAAGGGCAGGAGAGTAGGCTTGGCAGTTAGAGTGTTTTCAGAGCAAGCATGAGGCCCTGAGTTCAGATCTGTAGTATAGATGTAATGGTGGCCCCATCGCACTTCTCATTGCAGAGCTGGGTAAGCAGAGACACGAGGAGCCCTTGATCTCACTGTCTAGCTGATCTCATTAAGGTAACGAGCTCCAGCTTCAGTACAAAACTGTGTCTCAAAAATTAAGACAGAGAGTAACTGACAGAGACCCAATATCAACATCTGGCCCCCACACATACATACATACATACGCAAAAACATGTACACAGATACAAAGTCAGATTTTCATACTAATATGTATTGCATGCTGCTTATATTTATATTATCTATATTTTCATTCAATGTTGTATTTTACTCATACATTCCATGTAATTCGCAAATACTATAGTAAATGTATAAGGGGAAAAAGTAGCCAAGGTTTACATAAGGCAAATTTATCATCATTAATAGTTTTAATTGCATTTGTTGGTGTAAGACTTTTAAATATATGGGTATATCTTATTTCTATTAGAGAAGTTTTATGTATATATTATTCTTCAGGGTACCTTAAAATCAGAATCAATATGACAAATAAAACAGAATTTTAAAATATGACTTGTTGTTTTGTGTTTCTAACACAAGATCTCACAATGTATCCGTGAATGGGCTGGATTTCATATGTAGACCAAGCTGATGTCAAGCTCTAAGAGATCCTTCTGCCTTTGTCTCCTAAGTACTGGGAACGAAAGTGCATGCCAGTAGAAACAATAAATAAGTGCACATAGAAAGGGAACACTGGTTACCAACAAAGTATTTTCATGCAGGTAAAGTTACAATATAACTAAAGTGTTCTATTGTCGTTCCCCCTGCTGAAAGTATTTGATACTTTACTATCCCTGCTTAGCTCTACCATAGTCAGGCAGAGACGCATGGTTTCAAACATTTCTTTCCTGTATTATTAACTGAAAGTTCAACAAATACACAGGTAAAACCAACAAAGTATTTTCAAAATTAATTTGAGGTGATTTTAAAATTACATTAGCAGAAGCCAATATGATTTCATTAATATGTGTTTTAAAAACTGAAGGAGCAGAAAGGTTTATATATATATATGGCTTTTTACCTTTCTATATATATATGTGTGTGTGTGTGTGTGTATTCAGAAATATATGTATATATATTCCTATAATTTCACTTGTTTTAGGACAATACATAATACCTATATTAAACACATTTATATGCTAGCATGTTTCTAATATAAAATATTGAAAGATCAATACATCATGGCTATATCTATTTCTCTGCGCATAATATAGAGTACCTACTTCTACTATATTACATTTAATATTAATGTTAATGATTATAAAATAAAATTTCCATAAAGAAAAAAATAACTTAATAGTTTTTGAATGCTGAACATTATTACAACTAAATTTACTCATCAAAATGTCAATTGACAAACTAAAGAAAACAAAAGTGAAACCAGTCACAGTCTAACTTAGAGGCGGAACAAAACACTGATCAAGAATTTCCTGACTAGGATAATCATTAAACTTAATGAGGATTGATAAATTGGGGAAGAATAAAGCACTGTAAGAAATCACAAGTGTCTGTATTTCCAGTTTCCCCTCACTGTCCACAAACGTGCCAAACTCATGTTCCATTGACTACGTCAATGCGAAACAATTCATATCTCTTTCAAGTAAATACTGAATTGAAGATGGGGGCTTTGTGAGTCAGACAAATATAATCAGATCTATGTCTAACAAAAAATCTGGTCTTTGTGAACTAGCTGATGAATGTGACCTAAGTATTTTACTGCAGACACGTGTGTTCTGAGGCTGGTTCTAGATTTTGCTATTACAAAAAGGAAAAACTATTTCCCTGTTAGTGGGTTTTAAATCAGAAGCATACACGGAATTCTCAACTCTGCTTCCTGTGAAAGAGTTACAATTACTTCCACTTTTATTTCTGGTCTTGTCGTGTTGTATGTACCAGGGCATCTTTGGCTCACTTTATTTGCATCCATAAAGTGCTTGGCTAGCATGCACGGAGCCCTGAGTTTGCTCCTTGGCACCTCAAAAACAGGTGCAATGGCACATGCCTATAATTACAACCCTTGTATCATGGAGGGCAGATGATCAAAATTCAAGTTCATTCTCATAGGCCAGAAGGAGATTACTCAATCCTGGATTACTCAAACAGAGACTGAAGTTGGGTAGAGCACACTTCATCTGGCTTCACTAAATAAAATGAAACACTAATGCTGTAGTTTCTAGCTCTGGACTATCTATTTTCCATATATTAAATAATTATGGTTATTTTTACTGTTGGGTCACTTTTTATTACCCAAAAAACTTAAAGTCAATTTCCAAAATTGATACAATAATTATATTTTCTATACCATTCTTTGACAGCTTATAATATCTACTTAAATTTATAGTGTAGAATGAAACTTGCAATTGCTTATCTATAATCTTATCGTCGATTTCAGATAAATTATTTTATGCAATTTCATAGCATAGCATACAATTGCCAGAGAATATATAAAATATTTATATCATTATGAAATAAGCACAATAACTTACTATTTAATTAGGGGATGACCAAAATGTATTAGTAAGTACCTCTTGTAGATGTGATTTGTCCTAATAGGAAAAGCTAATGTGTTATTTCTGCTTTATTAGCAATAGTGACTTGAGCCAAGTTCTCTTACCTTTCTTCCTGCTGAAGGCCCGGTTCATGATGTGGGTCCGCCCAGCTGCTCTTCTCAGTAACACTAAGTATCCTGTTAAAACACAAACAAAGCATTGTTGACCAACTTTCTCTGTGTTTACAATAGTTTTATCTGCTTTTTATTTTTTTTCTCCGACAGAAGGTCTTGCTAAGTAGCCAAATCTGGCTTCAAATTCAGGGCAATCTTCCTGCCTTAACCTCACAAGTGTTGAGATGATAGTATTCCCCATCACACCCAGCTTTAGTGAATTTTACATTATAGAGCCTTTAAAAGCTGTGAAATAGTCAACAAGCAATTGCCTACCACATGGCAATAGATAAATATAACCATTATGTAATACTATGAGGGACAGAGTTAAGTGCAATATATCTGCTCCTTAATAACTGAGATATGCTTATGGACTTTTTGTTTTGCAAGATGAGCTGTCCAACTCAGATACTTCATTTTACTTAGCTGATGTTTTCATGTAAAAATTACTTCTAGATACCTTCTCAGAGATACTGCATATTAATAGTGTGTGAAGAAGTTAAGGTTAGCATCTTTATTTGGAAGCCTTTTTGAATGAATGTGGAAGGAGTGTTGTATTTAAGATGCAGACACTCTTAAAGAGATTTTACACTGGTCCTCATGTTTAGTAGGACTAGCTAATGCTGCCATAACATTTCCAGATGACTAAAAAGACGTTTTGGAATTAAAATACTTTATTCTTTCATAACTCACATTGTCATTTTTTAACCACTGCTTCAATTATATAAAGTTAAAATATCTGTTTAATAAAACATCAGGTAGGTAAAATGAAATGTCTGGGTTGGAAAGCCCATTTTGCAGCCAAGTGATTGAACGTGTAAATGTATTTATAAAAGGATTTTACTTTTAAAACCATAATAGTTTTCTTATATATCTCTGCCAAGGAGAAATTCAAAATTGATTGCATTTGTCCTCAACAACTTCAGAAGAAAAGTAACCTACTTCCTTAACTTCACAAATAAATATAATAAACAATATGCATGCCTTGGAGGACTTTGAGCTGACATATTGCAGCACTTAACCCTGTCCCTAAATAGTATTCCATAATGTTTATCTTTATCTATCTTCCAATGTAATCCTGATCACAGAAATCAATGGACATTCACATCTTCAATAAAGGATCCCAGATCTGTGTGCTTCTGTCTTTCAAACATCAAGAGAGCAGGGGGACTCACGCTAAGGCCTCTCCTGTTCAAAGTCCAAAGTCCAGTTGATAGAAGAAAAAGACCAAGCACCGACTATGACTCTGGGAACACTTTCCCCACAACATTCTTCAACTCAGTCTTGCCACTTACTCAGGATGAGTTTACCAACCCTTTCACCCTGAGTGTATCAGTCAGCATAGAAACTCCTATTCCAGAGGCGCTCTCAAAACTCAGACTAGCGCTTAAAACATTGGACTGCACAAAAACACCTCTCATTAATCTCATATTTTCAATAATTTCTCTACTTGCCTAATAGAGGAATTTCTAGCCCAAGGAAAAAGCTGATAAAGTTTAAAAGGAAGATCACCCCCAGGATGAAACTTCCCAAGAACATCCTCATCTCGAATGTATACTCAAGAGGATGTTAAAGATTAGAGTATTATTCACAACCCAGGAAAACACAATTCATATACACAGTCAAATATCAGGAGTGCAACAAAACCAAAAGATGAAATGCAAAATAAAGAGAAAAGTCAACGAAAACTGACCCAGAGAAGGATGGTGGATACGTGAGAGCTGCTATGACCTGCCCTCATGAGACGATCGGGCTAAAGTCAAGGAACTATGAACTGAGAGACAGATGTATTTTCCCAAAACTTCTAGTTAGAATGAGTGGCAGGTAAAAAAAAAAATGCAGTAGAATGAAGAGTGAAACCGAGAGAAGAGTGGACCATAGAGACCAGCCTGAAACAGAGGAAAAGACTAGAAGGAAGCAGAGGAAGAAGGCAGTTGGGAGGGAGAGAACACGTATTCTGAACTGTGGGAAAACTTTACGTGGTCCAAACTTCCTGAAGTCAGAGAGTTGAAGATGGAAGGGAGTATTGAAGCAATGCTATAAAGGGTAAGAATTTTCCAAACTTGGTGAAACTGTAGCCCCAGAGATCCAAGAAGCTCAACAAACCCCAAATCTTTAAAGCAATGCAAAAACTGCACCACAACACATCATCACCCAGTTGCTTAAGTATTCCAAAGGAAAAATAAATCTTAAAGGCATCCAGTGAGAAGAAAGAGGTAAGGGAGACAGAGTAGGAGCTGGGAGCAAAGGACTGAAGAGGGCATTGGGGCAGAGGAGATAAAAATGGACGTTAGATCTAATTAGACTGTATTTATCTTACATTTTCTTTACAACTTATTAACAACAGATGAAATACAGAGGCCACTTTATAATAATTTAGTTTATAAGTGAAATATTTAAAGATCTTTAGAGTCAGTCAACATTGTTGAAATAAACAAAATACGGGGCAGGAATTAAACCACTGATACTCAGAGCTGGTTTAAAAGATTGAAAGTGTGCAGTCTTTTAAGGAAAAGCAGTTTTCTGTCTACTAGTCTGATATATTGAATCTTTGGTTTTTTAAAAACTAAAAATCCAACCATATTGTTATGATAATGGAAACTAGATGTAGATTTAATATTAGAATTTGTAAAATAGTTCTGGGTTTCAGTTTTACTTGTGATTCCATTTTACTTTGTGATTCAATGTTCCAGGAACAGTTTTGAAGTATTAAGGGGGAGGGGCATAAACTGATGAAAACACACATAAGATCAATAGATAAAAGTCACTTTAAGATCTTGTTGTTCACAAAATGAAGCCATCATAATTAAACGTGGTCAATATTCAGTTATAGATAGCAAGGCAAACTTGGAGAAGCACAAAACAAAGGGACAGATAGATATAATGATAGATATAGATATAGATATGCTTATCATCTCTTTCCCCTAGCACATGTGTGACCTGGACCAGATCACATTCATAAAAATGTTTGCTATTTCCATAGATATGTTTTAGGACCTTATATATAATGCATTACAATGAGTGTATCAAGATAATAGACAAGCATAACAGGTTTCCTACTTTCACATTCTCACCATATTCGTAGGTAGGAGAGAGTGGACATGGGACTCTGTGACGAGGCAAAGGTCTGATGAAAGAGGAACATGCAACGATGGCGCATGAGGTGACACCTGACTTGTGGCCAGAATTCCTAGTCTCACCGCGAGCCTTCAGAGCACTTCCTGCCGCTCGCTAGGGGTGTGTTTTAGCATGTTCTGCAACGGTTGGAGGAGCAAAGAATGGACTAAAAGGTGCATCTGGGTTCTTGGTTTAATTAATCAAAAAGAAAAGTAAAACTATGCACCCTATCCTTCCTGGCATTTCAGTTCATGAGTTTAAATGGCTTTATTTTGATAACAGTGGGGGTTTTTTTTATCCTAAGAGGATTTCAATAAGGCACAGCAAAAGTCCTTTCCACAGCTGTGGCTCTTGCCCTGCACAGTCAGATCTTGGGTCGATGCTGGCACATCACAAAAGGCTGTGTAGTTATCCAGCAACTAAATGCTGTGCTTGTTGTCTGACATCAGCCTGGAGGGGCCCCACCACTCCGTCTCCAGGTGAGGACATGGGTTCCCACATCCTTAGGACCAGAAGGTGACACACAATTCAGAACAATCCCTTTCCTGCCAGTGACAACTTTATCCTCGTATGTGTACTTCAGTGTGTGCTGTTGAGCTAAACTGCTCCGACTCTGGCCACGTTTCAGTAGTTACACACTGAGGTTTCATTATGATTCTTCCCAATGCCAATTAAACTATTTTCTTCCTGGGTTTTCATTAAGAGTTTGTGTCCTTAATGAGAGTCAGCTCTGCATTTCTCTAAAATGCAATAATTACACAGAAAATAATGTTGGTAAGAAAAATATTCTCAGAGACTAATGAATAATTAATAGGAAACACAATTGTCTCTGCTGCAATAAACATTTACCACATACTTGACTTGTGTGGATCGTGGAAAACTGGAATTCTCAAGTCTGCTTTTGAACTACAAACTCTGTTCTTTGCAGAAATCCAAAGCAATACTTTATCTACTTTAAAATAAAATCACAGCTATTCTATTGCAGCAATGTGCATACACCTATGCTCTCTTCTCCTTTTTAAATTGTGCACATGGTACTGTAATTCAGTAAATCTGCAGCCTTGGTCATTTTATCAAATATTTCTATATCTGTCCTAGTGACCGAGAACCATGGGATACAATTACAGGGGTGAAGCTGTCTTTGGCGAAACCACCTGAACTCCTCTGACAGACTAGGATAAACAGTATGGTTGCCTAGTTACTGCTGTTAGAGCCTAAAACTAAAGACTATAGATTTCTATGACTAAAATATGCATTCTGTTTTATCTCTACCCACAAACAATAGTATAAACTTTTGATTCAGTTTCAAATATTCCATGTGTCACTGAGGTGCTATACTTGAAAAGAACTTGACATTTGAATTCTTTTCCTTGGTAAAAAAGTTGATATGTTGGTACTTTGACAATAGGCGCAGTTTTAAGATTACACCCAATGTTAAAACTCAGTAATTATAAATATCTGAACTTACTGCTTTAACCATATTACACATGTTTTAATGGCTGTTTTAAGATAAACAAAACAGATTGCTCTTTTTAAAATTTAAATATTATAATTATTCTTTGATTTCTTTGGAATTTCTTAATTTAATAGAACAATTTTATCATAATGAACTCACAAGAATATTACACAGCACGATGGCTATTATAACTACATAGCAGCTCACTGAACTTGCGTCTGAGCAAAGGTTTGAGATTACTTTTTGCCACTGTTAAAACAGGCCCTAAAATCATACATTGTCCAACTTAAGTGGGCAATCAGAATAATGGGAGACATTTTCCTGACGTGAAACTAAGGTGTAGGGGAAAGGAAGGCTTCAGCCATTAATGCTTTCCTCACCATGGGAACAAGGATGGATACACTGGCCAGGCCAGCACACAGAACGACTTGGATATGTCAATATCACCTTG